AAATTTTAACCTTAGATACTAAAAATAAGTTACTTAAACTAAAGGGTAATTGTTCGAAATTGAAAGCGTGATCCATCTCCTCATCATCCAAAACAAATGGATTTATAATATTACTTTTTGCTAACACAATGGAGAGTGCTAGTCTGTTTAGTTGGCTTATTATGTGGTTATTTCTTCTTATAAAATTTTCACAAAGTAGTGTTTCTTCGTCTTTTAACATCCAATCGGTCCAATTTCCGCGAATTGTGTTGATTTGGTTGGTTATTTCGTTAATTTTATTATGTAAATCGGAGTTAATTTTAATCTGCCTATTGTTGTTTTCTAATAACGTGCTTTCCTTTATCAAGAGCAGTTTAAAGTCCTCATGATCTGGGGTACCAGCTACGAATTTCAGAGCGGAACCCAGGAAATCTATTGATCTTGCAATTCTTCTCGGTATTTCCAAGGTGCGGATGATGTGTAATATTTCTTCACCTTGTTGTTTTAAAATATTTTCGTTTACTATCTGATTTTTTGATTTTGATACGAACCATCGGCTTTCAAAAGCTATCTGGCGGTAATCTGTCAAGTTGGTGGCATGTACGAGGTAAATGAATTCATTATAAATAGCCACATTTCCCCGAGGAATGGTAACAACTTGTGAAGAGGTGTAGACAATTAGATTGGCCCTAGTGTCGCAGATAAGGGCAAGCACAAATCTGAAATTGATTTTATCGTAAATTACTTTTATGAATTTTTCTGCCTTCTATCTGTACTGTTGTACCTAAATCTCGTTCTACTAGTTTTTCTACGAAAACTTTCTCAAACTTATTTCCTAGTCGTTTATTTCGACGAAGGAATACCCTTTCACCAGGCTGATATGTTTTAGTTATCCTTCTCTCATTTAATTTACTCAACACCAAATTTTGAGCTGTTATTAATTTTTCCTTGACTTCCCTAAATTTTCCTACTGGGCAGTTTTGTAAAATTTCGATTGATTTTGAATTTATAACTGAGTGAATTGTTCTATTGTATTTGTATGTAGCAAGCAAAATTAAATCCTTAACTTCACTTATTTGCTACTGCGCTTTCACGCACCAGGCTATTTCCAACAGGGTTGAATGAAACCTTTCAACCAGTCCGTTGCTTTCGCTATGTAAGGTAGGTACGAAAAACTGCTCTATAACGAAATGATCGTGTAGCATTGATTTAATTAAATTTGAAGTAAACGCTCTTTCGTTATCTGTGACAATTGTTTTAGTGTTTTGGAACATACCCAATACCTCCAATAAAGCTCATTTTATGTCAATGGTGCATCTTGAAATAATGGGTTTGACTATTGCAAATTTTGAAAACCTATCAACAGCAGTTAGGAATAACTGCTTTCCAGTAATTAAAATGTCCAAGTGGAAAATTTCTCCTGGACGCTCCGGGATTGGAGTTCTCCCAATTTCGGGATTTGGGGGTCTCCTTTGGTATTTATTTTCCAGACAGATCTTACAATTTGATCTTGTCGACTTGAGCATTTTCCTCATGTCCGGAAAGTAGTATTCTGATATAATTTGCTTAAAATTTTCCGACAGCGATCGATGGGCACGGGCATGCTCTGTTGCTATTGCTTCCTGTTGGTCGTTTGGATTAGTTAGATCGATTACAAATTTTTCCGTATGAATAAATTTAGCGCCCGCGAATGCTTCAATAAGAGGTCCCTGAATCTCCGATAGTGTCAGAAGATCGCAAAAAAAAGCATTTGTAACGCTAGGATTTATAAGTTTCTTGAGAGCTTGTAATAAATTTGTTATTGTGTCGTAATTTATGGTATACCGAATTTTTTTCTGAAAAATGATTTTCGTACTTAGATGATAATGATCCCCCTTTGTTAAAATGAATTGTGTTTTGAATTGGTTTACTGCATATTGGATAGTTTTAATTGTGTTTGAGAGTGATAGCTCGCTATGTGCTGTTGCATCTGTGTCACTCATATTATTCAAAAACTGACGAGACAAAGCGTCTGCTACGACGTTGTCTCTGCCAGGCTTATAACAAAATTTCGGCGAAAATTCCTCTATGAACGCTCGCCATCGCTCATTTTTGGATTTTTGTTCGAAATGGCGAACGTTAAAGGCTGGTGGTCTGTGAATATTACGATGTCCTTAATACCGTATAAGTAATGTCGAAGGTTTTTAAGGGCCCACACTATAGCCAAAAGCTCACGCTCGTTGGTTGCATAATTTTCCTCTGTTTTTGATAGTGTTCGCGAAATCATTGTGATGGGCCGCCCATTCTGGGATAGGACCGCGCCTAAAGCGCTAGAAGATGCGTCTGTTATCAGTTCGAATGTTTTGTCATAATCCGGATAAAACAGCAAAACATCTTCCGATGCCAAGATGCTTTTTACCTTTTTAAACGCTTGAATAGCCTCGTCGTCGAGGACTATTTTAAGATGTTTGGACTTGTGGGATGACACATGACCATTTTCCCCCCGAAGATACTTTGTTAATGGTTTGACGTAAGACGCATAATCCCGTATAAACCTCCTATATTATCCTGATAGACCCAAGAAAGAGCGCAATGCTCGAAGTGTTTCCGACATCTTATAGGCAATTATGTCCTTAATCTTATTTGGACATGTTTTTATCCCTTTTTGGGAGACAATAAAACCGAGAAATTCAACCTCCTTCTTAAAGAATTTAGTCTTTTCTGCTGAAACTCGCATTCCAGCTTTTTCCAACTTCCTTAATACCCTATCAACATGTTGAATATGGGACTTTTCGTCCCTTGAAAATATGATTATATCATCCATATAAACTTGGCAACTCTGGCCAATGTCGTCTCTCAGGACATCATCAATGGCCCATTGGAAAATACTGGGTGCATTCTTTAAACCGAATGGCAACCTATTAAACTCATATTTTCCATTGTTTATGCTGAAGGCTGTTTTTTCGCGATCCTTCTCTTCAAGGATTATCTGGTGGAAGCCAGATTTTAGATCTAAAGTGGTAAAAAATTTAGGACTACCCAGATTTGCTAGTATGGTAGAAATATCTGGTATAGGATATCTATCCGCAATCGTTTTTTCGTTTAATTTTCGAAAGTCGATTACCATGCGGAGCTTTTGTTTACCGTATTCATCTAGGCCTTTTTTATTCACAACATGGACCGGAGAATTATAAACCGAATTCGACTTCCTGATAATACCGTCCTTCAAAAATGTTTCTATTTCCTTATTAATGAATCCTGCCGCCGAAAACGGGTATGGATAAGATCGGGTATAAATAGGTTCTGAGGAAGTAGTAAGAATTTTTGCTTTGACCGTAGTATTATATGGTAAAGCTCGGTTAGGTTCGGCAAAGGCCTTCAAGTTCTTTTTGATCATAGAGTCAAACTCATCTTTCACAAGAGCTGGGACTGAGTCCCTATCCAAACACATGGAGTTTATCTGCTCACAATTTATGTTATTTAATTTTTCTTTACCGCCCTCATAAATAAATATTCCGATTTCGTATCAATTTTAGCTCCTATTTCTTGTAGGAAATCGTATTCTACTATACCATCGACGCTTTTTAAATTTGGAAGAATAAAGAAAGTTGATGCTTTTCCCAAAAGGAAAACCTTGATTTTTTTCTATGAGATTACACCCATTTATTGACTCGACCTTAAACTGTCTCTCCACAGGGGTAATTCCCTTTAAGAAACTAAAATTTTTGATATAGTTATTCGAGGTTCCTGTATCAATCAACAGTCTAAGCTCCCGACCCTCCGACGTCTTCTTGATAATGTAGAGTAGGAGCGACCTTACGCTAAAAAATTCATTTCATCTTCCATCGCAAAATTAGAAGCGATCTCGATATCTGAATCACTGTCACGATCCACAGTAACTTTTTCTGGTGGATCTACCTCTTGGGATGTCTTCAAATGATTCGTCCGTTGCACCTTTGGTTTTCGGGAATTTACTGAATACCCTTGTTCGCGATCCCGTTTATTCGCGTATTGATTAGCATCCCTTTTGGGATGCCCTCCTAATGCATTGTCCTTCTTATTACCCTGGTTGGACTGTTTTGTACGTCGGAATGCAGAGGATCCGCGGTCTACCTCCATTGGAGTAGGAGTGTCCTTAGGCATTTGGGGAGTGCTTGAATAATTGTTCTGATATTTTGGGTTATCTGAATTTGTTACGCTGTTAACTGCAAATGTTCTAGCAAAATCATAACGCATACGGTTATTTTCTAACTCCTGGGCAGTAGCCAGCGCAGAAGGCAAATCTTTTGGATTGGCCGAAAATAGAATATCGCATAAAGGCCGCTTTAGGCCGGAAATAAAGACCCTTAATGCATTTTCGCTAGCTCTATCATTGAGCGCGGCACAGGGAGCTTGTTGTTGGAGTGAGTCATTATATTTTTGTTCGTTATGAGTGTTAATTGTTTGTCCACCGTGTGATAATATTGACAGAGTGACGAATTTCCCTGCCTTAAAACACTGAGTTCTGTTTCCAAAACATGTAACGGTCTTTTCTCCGCGTATGTTTTATCTAACCTAGCTATTATAGCTTTAAAATTCAACACAGTTGAAAAGGAAGCGAGCGTTGCGTTCGCTGAGCCTACTATCTTGTTTCGAAAAATTCCCATTGCAATATAATATTGCTCCGAACCCTCCGTGTAGTAGCCGCTGCCGGACGCCAGGCCGGATAGGATGCGGTATCCCCCTTAAATTCTTGCAAGGATTTTATTAGATCCAAATTTGTGTTGCTGTTAACCACAGCTGGATCTATTTTTACTGGAAGATAATTCTCCGCAGATGGCGGTTGTAAGCGCCGAAGTGTTTGCATAACTTCATCTAACTGGGCATTAAATTTTCTTCTATTTTGTTCATGTTGTTGTCTCATAATCTCAATTACCTGCTCTCTTGTTACACTCATTTTGATATTAATTTAGAAAAACTCACAATAAAAATAAATTGTTTTTTTTTTCTTTTTTTTTTTACTTATTTCACTGGATCACACGAAAAATCGAACAATTACTTACAGTAGTATTTGCATTGTAGTATAGTATTAAAGCAGGTTCTCCTTGTGTCCTTCCAGTCAATATCCTGTTACTGCTTGCTGTCTTGTGTCCTTCCAGTTAATATCCTGTTACTGCTGGCTGTCTTGTGTCCTTCCAGTTAGTATCCTTGCTGTAGCGGGAATTTCCAGGTTAGTTAGTTCCTAGCCCGTGGGCGCCACTTTGCAAATTATAACTTTCTTCTCTTGATGTTAATACAGAACTAAACTTTATTCACTTACAATCTACCCTAGTTCCCTACTTGCGGTTTGTAGCTAGTCGCTGATTCGTCGATGTGTGTGTCTTGGTGTAGATGCGCTGCCCGATCTGGTTGACTTAGTATCGATGCGCCGGTAGCTCTGTTTGTGTGTTGGTATGAATGCATTGCCGGCTGCCCTGCCGAAAACTGCCCAAAGTCACGTACGCTATCAGGTGTCCGTTTTGGAATGTATCTGAATGGCAAGACAAGCGTGGGAGTGATTCTGAAGAATTGTCGATCAGCTTGGCAGCTGTAAAGTCTATTTACAAATATCCAAGAAGCTATGCAGGCGTGGGAGTGATTCTAAGGATTCATCAAACCGCTGTTGCAGCTGTGCAATATGCTAACTTATACATTTGTCTATATCTATCTCGATTCGTTTTGGCTGTTAAAAACAACCGTTATGTGAACAACTTTAATATACCCTTGTGCACAAGTGCGCTTGGATATAAAAAGGCGAGTGCAGCACCGTACTCGTGATAGAAGTGAGACTTCTTAAAAAAACACATGTGTGCTGCGCAGAGAATGAGGCGAATACAATTGCTTAATTTATCTAATTTTGGTACCAAGTTGCTATGTTTTTATAATTTTTCACATTTAATATTTTTTTTTAAATATTTTTTTTCGTCAGTTTCCAGTGCAGTTAAAAAAATGCGTATAATTTTCGTCACGAAATTGATATCATAAATTTTGTGTTTCTAGTTCAGCTTTCGTTACTCGAAATTTTAACCTCAAAGAGGGATGTTTTATTTGATATACATATAATGCGTTCTGTCTACTCTTAGAAACACAAAATAAAAAAAAAAAAAACTTTAGCAACGATTCTTATGAATAAAACAATTTTGCGTCAGTTTCCAGGGCAGTTAAAAAAATGCGTATAATTTTGGTCACGAAATTGATATCATAAATTTTGTGTTTCTAGTTCAGCTTTCGTCACTCGAAATATTAGCCTCAAGGAGGGGTATTTCATTTGATATATGTATAATACGCGAAGGGATTTTTTGTCCAGGTCATCGGATCTGCCCCGTTCGTTCGATTTTCAAAAATGAGGTGTTTAATTAAAGGTGTTGGGCTGTAGATTTGCAATAAGGTTTTAGTTTTTTGAAAAGAGTTGTCGCCTGTTAAAAAATTAAATTCAAGTTATTTAACTATCAAAGCCATCAGATCCGCACTGTTTGTTCGATTTTCAAAAATAAGGCGTCACATTAAAGAGCTTAGGCTGTAAATGTAAGGATATCTTTCCCGAAAACAGTTGTCACCTTTAAAAAAATTTAATTCCAAGTATTTAAAATATTAAAACAATTAGTACTACAATAAAGGTATAAATCGAAATGGCTTTTAGAGGCTGTATTTTTTAGCTGATTATAATAGGGTTGCCACCTGCTAAAAAAAAATCAAATTCAATTTCCAATTAAGTAATTATATAATTGCAATATCCATCACAGTATGACTGTCGAATGAGAGAAGCTTAAGAAGGTTTCAGTTTGGAAATATTTTGAACTGGCTTGCCATCTGATCGAAAAATCCAATGTAATAAAATTATGCAGAAGTTAGGTGTGTGAAATATTAAAACGTGAGTATCAAGCAAGAGCTTTAGTTTTAAAGTTTAGAATATTTGTGTAGTGTTTAAAAAGGGTTGCCACCTGTTTTAAAAGCTAAATTCAAATTAGCTCAAAAATTTGTATTTTATTTTTTTTTTTTTTTGTTACTTAATGGCCTTACAACAATTATAGTCAACAATTTTCATTGAGCTTGAGGCCGTTTTTAATGAAAAACTTATTATCTACCATTTTATGAAATTATTGTTGCTTTTCCACAATAAGTTTTTCATTAAAACGGCCTCAAGCTCAATAAAAAATGTTGAATATGATGTTTATAAGGCCATAAAATAACAAAAACAAATAACTTAAGGACGAGCACACCTAAAAGTTAAACATTCTAATAATAGAAATATTAACAAAAACCAACAAAACCAACAACCACATGATCAAGTATAAATATCACTGGAATAGCTGCGCTGGATTGTAGTTGGCTTAACAAATGAAATAGTGGAAAAAAGCAACAAGAATTCACAAGGCGAACTTAGCACAGTACGTAGGCAACTGGCTGAGTTAGTGGGATTGTCGGTTCGAATCTTACTGAAAGAAGTCTGATGAGGAAATGTGGTGATTTCCGAAACAGCTATCACTTCTACCATTTATCAAATTATTGTTGCTTTTCCACAATAAGTTTTTCATTAAAAACGGCCTCAAGCCCAATAAAAATTGTTGAATATAATTGTTATAAGGCTATAACATAACAAAAACAAATAACTTAAGGACGAGCACACCTAAAAGTTAAACATTCTAATAATAGAAATATTAACAATATCCAACAACCACATGATCAAATTTAAATAGCACTGGAATAGCTGCGCTTGATTGTAGTTGGCTTAACAAATGAAATAGTGGAAAAAGCGACAAGAATTCACAAGGCGAACTTAGCACAGTGCGAAGGCAACTGGCTGAGTCAGTGGGATCGTCGGTTCGAATCCTACTGAAAGAAGTCTGATGAGGAAATGTGGTGATTTCCGAAATAGCTATCACTTCTACCATTTTTTCAAATTATTCATTAAAAACGGCCTCAAGCTTAATAAAAATTGTTGAATCAAAAATTTAATGAATTATTAAAAGATGGGGATCAAGCGACTTATGCATTTCCCGCATAAACAAAGAACAGCGAACACACA